CCAACTAACTTAAAGTTTTAATTTTTAATATTATTACATTTAACATTGATTATTAATAAATAAATTTAATAACCTAAATCGTGATTGCTGAAAAAAGAATTTAGTTGTGAACTAAAATAAAATTTACATTCTAGAGATGAAGTTTATCTTAGTAGTTGTTTTCATGGCTCTTTTGGGTACAGTGAAATGCAGCCAGGATTTCAACGATCGCACAATCTTCAAGAGAACCTCGAATACAAATTCCGGTAAGATTAATTAAAGAATTCAATGATTATTCAACTTCTTCTTTAAGTGCAATTAAGAAAAAAGAACTGGTACAATTGTTATGATTTTAAATATAAACTTATTAATTTGAAATTATTTAAAATTCATTAATTAAATCAATTGATAATTAAAACAAGCTATTGCATATCACAAATGTATATTAAAATTTTGGAAATTTTGGATGTATATTAAAATTTTGCGAAAAAGTTGGGACAATGCACAGCCAACATCATCGCATATAATTTAAATATTAAATGTAAAATTATTTTTCCTAACTCGCCATACAATTAATCATTTTATCGCGATATTTGAATGTTATATAAGATGTTCGACACTGAGATTGGTTTTAATACTCTAACCGACAATATAAATCAGTGTTTATCATGAAGTATTAATAATTAAGGCATTCTTTCTTCATTAATTCTTAAAGTTATTCTCTTAAGATTACTTTCTTTTGCTATTTTTTAAGCTGTTTTTAAATAAAATTATAAAATTGCTATATGTAAAAATGATCGATAATATTATTGTTAGTTTTAATAACATAAGTAAATCTTTGGCAATTTTTTATTTTAATTTTTTATTAATTTTATTTCATTATTTTTAAATTTATGTAATATTTTAATTCGTATATTATAAATAGTAAGTAAAATATTTTTGAAATTAGAAATATTACTATTTAAGTGATAATGTCTACGAAATAACTTGCAATATATATAATATTTGCGGCACTTTTTATTAATCCTTATATTTATAAAGATCATCAAAGTAAAATTTTTCAACAAGTAAAATATTTGTTTTTTTACAGTTCGTTCCCAATCAAATTCCAATATGTACGTACCGATTTTTAATATGCAACAATCCAAAATTCTCCAAAAATCTCAAATCTTCCAAACAGGAATAAACTCTCGACAGAATAATATAAGGAACCATCACGTGCAGCAACCATCACTGTTTCTTACTCCGCCGATCAGTTACTTAGCTTGCAAGCAACCTTTTTCTAAATCATATTCTATCCCAAGATCAAATAGCCAACAAAACTCCATGTGTGTGCCGCAAAGTTTTGTAGCCTTCGCATCACATAATCCTAAGTTAAATCAGCACTCAACAACTTTTTCGCCTCTAAATATCCCAAAATCGTCGCTCACTCATTTATCGTCACAATCTCTGCCTTTTTCGACTAATGCAAGACCGATTCATTCCGCATCCAGAATTGGCAAGCAAGTGGCTGGAAATGTAGGTGGAAACGATGGCATTTTTTTTCCTCCTCCTCCTACTCCTCCTCCTCGTACTCCTCCTCCTCGTACTCCTCCTCCTCGTACTCCTCCTCCTCCTCCTCCTCCTCCTCGT